TAGTATAGTATATGAAACCCTAATATGCAAATAGACTGGACGGCAGAACAATTGAACAACCAAACAACCGGTCGCTATGACATGCACTGACCACCAGAGGGTGCGCGTGGAACATGGCAGGCATCGGCAGCAGGCGGCAGAGCGCAGAACATGGCAGGCATTGGATGGTGGAGTAGGTGAGCAGGGGCACCAGACCAAGATGGGGTGCTGGTCACTATCATCGGGGTGAGCCTCTGGTGGTTACTGAAAATTCTTTGCTTCCACGCCCTGTGGTGCTGCCGGGTGCTTGCACCTGCTGTCAGCGCCGGCCCCGCCTGCACCGGCTACTGGCGCCAGAGTCACTCCTCGCATCCGCAGCCGGTGCCCAGCGCCAGCCCCAATCGCTCAGCACCATCAGCAGGTGCTTGTGGTGGCTGCTGACCCTGATCACCTCTGAGGGCTTCTCCACCTCTCCCTGGTCCTGAGGGGCGATCAGGGTAGCAGCCGCAGCTCATACCCACTGCAGCACCGGCCCCACTCGCACCCGCTGCTGGCACCGGCCCCAATGGCTCCGCACAGTCAGTGGGTGCGAGTGGAGCCCGCGCTGTCAGCATGTGGGAGCGTGGTGGTGGGAGCAGGGCTGCTGGTAGACAGGGAATGGGGCTGCAGCGGGAGGGGCCAGGTGGGGGTGCGGAGGATGGGCCAAGACCCATCCCTGTGCCCACTGCAGCCTCGCGGCCCACAGTTCCTTTCAAGGTGCATGAATTTGTGTACTGGGCCCCTAGTAAAAGTACTAATATATTAGCTTAAGCAATTATTTTCTTTTAATCATAAAGGTAAAATGTACCCATTTTAAAAACACATAGAAGCCATTTTTCTCACTTCCATTCATTGGGGTTAGCACTGCAATATCTTTTAAAATCTTTTCCATTACACACACACACACACACACACACACACACACACACGAAGCATGTTTAGTACTTTGCAGCTTTCCATGTCATTACACCCCCAGAAAGGAATCTTTTAGGGTTTGGTGGATCTGGACCGCTTTCAGGAATCATAAGAAACAGTCTGAGTTATTAACTTACCATTTCTCCCCCTAAGCATGTAGACTCAAATGTAAAAATACATCATCAGTGTTTTCTATTTGAGATATGTCATGTGTAAGTTACCTGAGGAGGTAACTTCTTCACCTCTTTTCATTCCTAATCTTTTATAAATTTCTCTCTCAGGATCAACGTAGATTTCATGACAATACCCAGTCAGTTTGCAGAAAGGCTGCAAAAAGAGAATATGTGAGATCGTTATAAGAAAAAATTGAGAAAAAAGTAATTATAGTCTAACTTAGTTTCAGTAAATATAACCTACACTTATTGGTTCAAATCATAGACTTGCAATGTCTGTTAGTTTTAATATGTTAATTTTTCAATTTGTTATACATTTACCTCAATATGATGGTAGGATGACTGTCCAATCACTCTAAGGGTGACATTTGCCTCCTTTAGGAGAAAAACCACACATGCACATACTATTAGAAATTATGTTTCCTACAACTTCCCCTTATCCATTCCATTCCAAAGCCATCTATAGGCTTCTAGAAGAATGGGATAAATGGGAAAGGTGTGTGAGTCAAAGCAAAGAAATGTATGGTAAAATGTTTCATTCTGATGATCTTTTGCTAAGAACTTTAATATAGTCAATAATTCCCTACACTCCCCCCAAAGTATACTTTAAAGAAGAATAGCCTTGGCTGATGCGGCCCAGTTGCTGGGTGGTGTCCTGTGCACCAGAAGGCTGTGGGTTCAGTCCCCGCGAGGGGGCGTGCAGGAGGCAGCCTATCCATGTTACACTCTCACACTGATGTTTCTCTCTCTCCCTTACCCTTGTCCTCTCTCTAAAAACAAATCGATAAAAATACTTTAGCAAAGAATAAAAATGATTAAAGTAGTATTATTTAATCAGTTTTTCTTTTTCACATCCCAATGGTAAGGTCTGGGGAAAACAGACCTGAGTTTCACAAAGGCTGCCCAATGCCTTCACTCGAAAGCTCACCTGGGGACAAATCTCTATGCATGTGCCTGACGAAAAACACATGTGTTTGGTTGTCACAGGGAGGTGGAATGTGCACCCCATTACACATACAATTTTTCACCTTTAAGATATATTAGTGTTTCCCTGTAATGAGCAACTATCTGGAGTGTTTTTATTATAAAATTAGGGAAAGAAATATCAGTAATTGCCAGCATTTGTGTTTTTGGTCTTCGTCATCCAACATTTGTGAGTAGGCAGGTTACCGGGTAGCGTCAAAAGTATTACTGTGGTTGGCATGTTCATAAGCCGCAGCACCAGCTCATGGCGCCGGGATGGGCCCCTAACGCGCCCCCTTAGGAGGAGCTGGAGAGGCGGGGAGGTGAGAACCGGGTAAGGAGCGACCCCCCCCCCGCCCCGACCCCACCGCCCGCTGATAAATGTGGGGGACGTGCCCCAGCCCCGGAGCAGGCCGCGCTGCTGTTCTCGGAAACTTACTTGCAAGAAACTCCTGGGGATTTTGGCCAGATCTTCCACGTACTCCTGGCAGGTGTAACACAGGAAATGCTGCAGCCCCACCAGCAAAGAGAACAAGTCAGAGCCCACACCCTCCGGGGCAGCAGGACCCAGCGCGTCGGCCCGCAGGACGCTAAGCAGCACCCAGGTTGGGTAGCAAAGGGTATCACGGCGCCCCATGCGCTTGAAAACCCAGCGCCCCGTCCCCGAGAGGCCTCCTCGCTGGCGGAGGAAGGGCCTGGGCCTGGCGGCTCCTGGCCCTTCCTGTCTGGGAAGCCAGTGGCCCTCCGAGCTCCGGACTCCCGCAGTGGGCGGCCCTGGGAAGGGCGGGCGGATGTCGCCTCCGACCCGACCCTCTGCCCTGAAGTGTCTCCTGGCTGAGGCTGGGGAAGCCACCTCCACCCTGGCTGCTGAGAGGAGGCTGCGTTATGCGACATGTGTCACTTATGGAATATTCATGTCAAAGGTGTATAACCTGAGCAACCAGGAGGCAAACAGACGGTTCCACCTGGCTGGACGCTTCAAAAGGAGTCAATGTTATTGAAACAAACCAAAACCAAAACCAAAAAGGGTGTGTGTGTGTGTGTGTGTGTGTGTGTGCGTGTATGTGCTGTTTTTGATTAAAAGAACTAAAGGGACATAACAATAAATGAAGAAAATTTAAGCTTCAGTTAAAATCAAAGGCCATAAAAGTGATTTGGGACAATGGGGAATTTGAAATGGACTGTGTAACATGATTTGATGGAATTATTAATTTCTTAGTGTGAAAATGATATGATGGTTATTCAGGAAAATGATATGGAAATGCATCCTGAGCTTTGAGCAGGAACGTGTCATGATGTCTGCCACATATTTCCAAATGGTTCAGGGAAAGAAAACATAAGTGTCCCTTTAAGATGAAGATAGGAGTCAAGCCTATATAGTAAGATTATTGTGAAGGGTAGAGGGAGTGATGAATGCAAAGGCTTCACACGGGGCTGGCAAGGCAAACTCTCACGAACACACCCTGCTCAGTGCAGCACTTCCAACGGGCAGGGCCCAAGAGACAAAGGCAGGGGGTCCTTAGTGACCGGCTCTCCTCAGGCCCGTAATGAGGGCCACCAAGAAGGAAAGGAGAGAGTGACCGAGGGATGTCATCTCCTTCTAAAAGCAGCCCCTCCACCCCTCGGTCAGAGACAGCACGGAATGGGGTGAAAAGAATACTTACTGGTTGAATTCTGGACTCAGGTAAGGATTCTAACTAACAGTCTCTAATAATAAAAGGGAAATATGCTCATTAGACCGGGTGTCCTTCCAGATGACCTTCCGGACGAAGCCACGAGGGTTGGGGGGTGAGCCCCTTGCATGAATTTTGTGCGTCGGGCCTCTAGTCTCGTTATAACCAAAGTAAAGGAATATTGCCCTGTGGTATGTAAATGACTCTCACAGACATTTTATTCTCACTCAGATGCTCCTTCATTTTCATTCACAGGGTCATTTTATTCCCACATATTTTAAAAATTGGAAATGTTTAACTTATCGTGAATGCCCTCCAGCTGGAAGGCTGTATCCCAGGGTGGGGATCCCTTTGATGTGCCTGAGCCCGAGGTGCCCTCCTCACCCAGGCGCCCAGGCGCTCACATCCTCCAGCCTCAGGGCCATCACAGGATTGGGGTGAAGCTCAGCAGAGGGGGAGCCACGGCAGGCCCAGTCTGGCCCCACATACGTACAGCATCTTGAAACCTGGTGCCTGGAAGGAGGTCACAAGAGCTCAGGACAACACAAGGCAGGGGGCTCACAGGTCAGGTCTGGTCCCTCAGAAATCTGATGTAAAATCCAACCAACTCAAATGAGAGCAGATACAAGACAGAGAAATGGGGAGGAAAAATGGGGATGATATAAAGTGTTCCTTTACCCAAACAAACCCAAATTTCCACAAACCAGGTTATTTACTTAAAAGAAAAAAATTCCGGGCAACTGATGGGATACTACTAATCCATATCTGCAAAGCCCAAATAGGTTGTTAGATGTATGTCTTA